AATCAACACACAGTGAGTATAACAGCACACTTTTACAGTTTAGCACATTTAACCCCTTGATCTCCCCCCCCCCCAGTTAACCTCTTCACTGCTCTGTCACCAGTGTCATTAGTACAGTGTACAGATTTTTTGCTGATCACTGTATTAGTGTTGTCCGCGACTTCAGATAGCGTTAGCGTCAGTTAGCGCCCCTCCCAGATAGCGTCAGATTGCCAGTCAGTCACATTTAACTCCTTGATTACCAGGAACATGCTCACATACACAATAAACCTCCATTGCTAGTATATTGTCTGAACAGATCAATATCTTTGATCAGATCAGCGCTATACCAGCGTTCACATTAGTATGGTGTCCCCAAAAATGCAGCGTTAGCGGGACCAGACCCGGCACCTGCATTTAGCCTCTATGCTCCCCCCCCCCTTCTCCCCGAGCAAGTGCAGTGTCAGTAGGTCACTGTCACTTGATACATTGCACACAAAACTGCAGTGTTCTCAGAATCAGGCCTGATCTCTGTTAGCACTTGATGGTAAATTTTTTTGCAGCAGTCCCTGACAGCCAGGGGCTCTTTTTCCTGTGAGTCACACTAGGTACCTATAAATTTAGTGGCCAAAATGTCCAACGAAAGGTACTCTAGTGAAGAGGCCTACAGGATTCTGACCATGTTAGGTGAGAGCGAAAGGGAAGACTCCCTGACACAATCAGCCTCTGAATACAAACTTGTAGACAGCAGCAGCACCCTTACAGATAGCTCAGGCGATGGAGAAGACTTCCCTGCTAAGGTCAGGCGTACCCGACCCCATTCCCAGGATGCTGAAATGTTACAATCGCATGATGACTCTCATATGCAGCAGAGTGGCAGTACTAGTGCTGCTCTACCTTTTGGTGAATTGGCGAGCACCAGCGACCTAGTACATCCTGGTCTTTCACATACCAGCACTGCAGTATCACTTGGTGATGTGGCGAGTTCCATAAGTGCAGTACAAGCTGGTGCGGTGGCGAGCAAAAGTAGTGTCCTGCAGCCACCAAGAATTCGCACACTGGCCCATAGACCCCCTAGTATCCTTCTGGATGTGCTTAAAAATCCAGATTGGCAGCCCACAAATTCTGTAGCACCCATACTTCCCCCATACACTGCCAACCCGGAATTCAGGTGGAAACAGCAAATTTAAATACTCCCCTTGATTTTTTGGAGCAGTTTTTCACAGAAGATCTGTATGCATTGATTATGGATCAAAGCAATTTATATGCACAACAGTTTATCGCCGCCAACCCAAATTCAAATCTTGCCAGACCATTCACATAGAAACCCATTACGGTTTCTGAATCTAAAGTTTTTTTGGGCCTAACCCTCAACATGGGCATTACTAAAAAAAATTAATTGTGGTTGTATTGGTCCACAGACCCGATTCATCATATGCCTGTGTGATGCTGCCATCATGCTGCCGTGGACAGGCATAGATATGAGAGTATAATGTGTTTTATGCATTTCAACGCCCAACACACTGTCATCCTCGGGATGAGCTTGAATTTGACAGGCTTCACAAAATTCGGCCCCTCGTAATCACCTTAACCAAAAATTTGCAGATTTCTATAATCCCCAGCAAAATATCTGCATTGATGAATACCTCATTAATTTTTCTGGCCGCCTTACATTCAAACAAACAATTTCTCCCCAGCAAGCCTGCCTGATATGGGGTCAAGATGTCATCCTTTTTCCATATGTGATACCACTTATATGTGGACAATTTTTATTCAAGCGTGCCACTATTTAAACATTTGTACAATCTTGGAATTGGCACATGTGGCACCGTGCGACCTAATTGCCGGGGCTTCCCCCAACGGCGTGTAAATACCTATCTTAGAAAGGGGGAAAAAGCCTGCTTGAGAAATGAGGAATTGCTCGCAGTGAAGTGAAAGGAGAAAGGGGATGTTTTCGTCCTATCTTCCATTCACAGACACAACCATCCAAATTGCCATGGCAGCTGGTGTTGTTGAGAAGCCCCTCTGTGTCCATGACTATAACCTTAACATGGGAGTGGTGGACTTCAACAACCAGATGATGAAGCTGCACTTAGTTTCACAAAAAGCCAGACGCTGGCACAAAAAAAGTGTCTGTTTATTTATTTCAATTGGCTCTATATAATGCTTTTGTGCTTTACAAAGCAACTGGATGAAGTGGATCCTTCCTATAATTGCAGGAAGAAATCACAACGACCCTTTTGTATCCAGAAGGTGCTGTGGCCCCAAACCCCCAACCCAGATGCAGTTAGCCGAGTGCATGACAGGCATTTTCCCAATGCCATTGCTGGTACCCCAAAGGACACCCCAAAAAAGACGTTGTGTCTGTAGTAGACAAGGAATTAGGCATGACACCCGTTTTTTTTGTCCCTCTTGTCCTGGCCAACCTGGTCTCTGCCTCGAGGACTGCTTCCGTCGCTACCATACACTAGTGGAGTATTAGTATAGGGTACAGCATGGCACAGTTCAGGGCACATATTTACACATGGTCTCGAAAGATGTTAGGTAGTCAGGAAAACGGTTATCGCATTTAGAGAAGACCCTACCATCGGTTTTAACAAAAATAAAAAGTACAAATCCTCCCCAAAAATTAAAAATTTGAAAAAACAAAAAATAGTTATAGTTTTTCTTGTGGTTACTGTTCTACTGTTACAATTTTACTGTTTTATTGTTAACAATGCTTTTTTCTTTGCAGGAAAGCCATTCAGCTGCAGCACCGACCTGTTTTATTTGGACAGCAACTTGCTCTCAGAATATACATAAGTCAGTGTGGGCAGCGCTGTTGGATGAAATTTTTCATCCACAGTTAAAAAAGAGCATATATGCTGAAGCATGGGGGCCTGGGGTGGCCAGTGGGTGGATGGCTCCAATGCTTCAGCATATATATTTTATAATTTTTTTCGGCATATTTCATGCGTGCCCACCGTTAGAAGTGGGTGGATGCAGGGAGGTATATTCTAATGGTGGGCATACCACACACTTTTTCTGGCAGAGATATTTCAATAAAAAAGTTGTTTTATTGAGTTACTGTTTAATTGTTAACCATTGCTTTTTTCTTTGCAGGAATGTCATTCAGCTGCAGCACCGACTTGTTTATTCTGACAGCAACAGGGTCTTGCTTTTAGAATATACATAAGTAGATGTGTGCAGTGCTGTTGGATGAGATTTTTCATCCGCAGTTAAAAAAAAAAAAAAAGAGCATATATGCCAAAGCATGGGGGCCTGGGGTGGCCAATGGGTGGATGGCCACTATGCTTCGGCAAATATATTTTATAATATTTTTTGGCACATTTCATTTCATGTGTGCCCACCATTAGAAGTGGGTGGATGCAGAGCGGTATATTCTAATGGTGGGCATGCTACACACTTTTTCTGGCAGAGAGCAGTGTGATTACAGTGAAGCACACTGACATTGCCCCCTAGCAAAACACTCCCTGCACACAGTTAACCCTTTGATCGCCCTTATATTAACCCCTTACTGCCCAGTGCCATTAGTACAGCGTCAGTGCTTTTTTTTTTTTTTTCTTTAGCACTGATCACTGTATTGGTGTCACCGGGGATGTCAATGACATCAAGTCAGTTCCCCCCAGTGTCAGAACGTCCACCGCTGTCCCCCTGTAAGTTGCTGATCGCCGCCATTACGAGTAAAAAAAAAAAAAAAAAATTCTGTTCCCAGTATATATATACCGCCATTTGTAAATGCTATAACTTTCATGTAAACCAATTAATTTACACGTATTGGGATTTTTTTTTAGCAAAGACATGTAGAAGAATACATTTTGGCCTACATTTGTGATGAAATTTGATTTTTTTACTGGACATGTCTAATAGCAAAAAGTCAAAAAAATTGTTTTTTCCTCAAAATTGTTGGTCTTTTTTTATTGCGCAAAAAATGAAAAACACACAGGTGATACCACCAAAAGAAAGCTCAATTCGTGGGGAAAAAAGGACGTAAATTTCATTTGGGTGCAGCGTTGTATGACCGCGCAATTGTCAGTTAAATAACGCAGCACCGTAACACAAAATATGGCCTGGTCAAGAAGGAAGGGGGGGGGGGTAAATCTTCAGGAGGGCAAATGGTTTAAAAAAAAGTCCCTGACCCTTTCCAAAAAACACAGGGGGTGAAACCGCAGAGGTGTGAACCTGTCCCATTGGAACTCATGTTAAACGACTGTAGTGCTTTTCTGCAAAACAGGGCAGCAAACGCTTAGCTGTGAACCTGTGGTAAAGGAAATTGCAATGTGTGTGATGAGCTACACCTCCCATACAACACAATAGCTGAGTGCCGAGCTGACCTCGTGATGTCTCCCGCCACACACCTACCTGAAGGCACATAATCCTCATCATCAGAGGAAGAGTAATCGTCCGAGTCACAATCAGACATCGCCGTACGATGAATTCCTCAATCAGGACCCAGCAACCCAATTCAACTTCAGTCAACCACCTAGGTGAGCAGTACGCATGCCTGGAAGCCGGTCACTTGACGTTGCGCATGCGCCACCCACAGATCCGTCCATGTGAATAAATGTCATACGACCCTAGCGGTGCATGCGCTAAAGATGACAACCTTGGCTTACCACAGCAGGCTAGTTTGTATAACCTGCCCCTCTCGTGCGAAGCAAAAATGAAAGCCTTGAAGGGGGAAAGGTCAAGGGAAAAAGTGCCCTTTACAAACATGGTGTCCCATGACTTCGTGTTCCAGAACCCGTAGCCCTTACGTACATAACCCAAATAAAACGTCACTTCCGCACACAAAGATGGCGATCCGCTTATTGGTTGTAGAGATAACAGACGTCTATAGTAACCAATAATCAGGAAGTATTATATCTGCCAGCCTCGCCTCTCTGTTTCCTCTTTTACCGATTGGCTACTGCGTTGGAACTTGTGCTGGTCTGGGGAAGAAGGCGAAAGGGGCTCGGGGAAGTTGAGTTAGGAAGCTCCGGGGAGCAGTGGAGGCCTGGACGGCGGTGGATGGCGGAAGTATGGACAGCGGAGGGACGGGGGGAGAGACCGGGCTTCTACAGCAGATCCTGAGCCTCAGCCTGGTGCCTCGGGTTGGAAATGCCACTGTGTGCCCCACTTCCACCGCTCTGTGCGGCTTCCCTGGTGAGAGCAGACCCCCTGTGTACACCCCATCCCCCACTTTGTGTGTGTCAGGTGACAATCATTGGAGAGCTCTGCGCCCCTCCTGCTGGGTTCAGGGTGAAGTCCTCTCCCTGCTGCCCCCCTGATATATCATCTCTACATTGGAGGGCATACTACTAGAGCCCCATTCACACCTAGCACCTATTACTAGGAAATGATGGCGGCACAAGCCCAACGCACGTTTTGGGGAACGCACGCAGAAACGTGCATTTGTAGAACAGGCAGGTGTGATTTGGGCCAAAGCCTTTTGCCACGTGCCAGTTGGCACATTTTATATCACGCGCTTTGCTTTTGCATGTGACAAAACTCGCATTTGCTTGCTGCGTTTAACAAATCATGGCAGCGCAAGCATGACGCGTTTTCCCAGAAGGCGCAGGTGCCAGGTTCCCCTCTGTGCATGCTCTTTTTCTGTGTTTTTTTTTTGGTACATGATGTGTTTTCATCAGGGATGCACTGAACTTTCGGTGGCCGAAACATAGCGACCGAAAAGGGCCCTATGGGCATTTTGCTGATAAGTAAAAGAGAGCTGATACAGGTGCCGATAATGAGAGGCCTGGCCCCAATGAGGGGTGGACTGACTATTTGTCCGGGGGGGGGGGGGGCTGTGTGTACTGCAGATGGAGGGCCGGCGGAGAAAAGGTAGGAGAGGAGCTAAGCAGTGTATACAGACAGGATCGCTCACTTGCCTCTTTTAAATGTCATTGCTGGTTTCTTTTCTAATTTTCCAAAAACTTGTGGCAACAAATGAGATCTGCAAAATACTCACCATGCCCTTTAACCACTTGCCTACAAGGCACTTTTATCCCCTTCCTGCCCAGGCCAATTTTCAGCTTTCAGCACTGTCACACTTTGACAATTGCGCGGTCATGCAACACTGTACCCAAGCAAAATGTTTATCATTTTTTTTTAGACCGATAGCCTTCTCTTGGTGGTATTTAATCACCACTGGGGTTTTTATTTTTGGACCTTGACAGGCATAACTGATAGGCACGGAAAGGCAGCACTCATAGGTGGCACTAATAGATGGCATTGTCTGACACTGATAGGCGGCACTGACTGGCACCGATAGGCGGCAATGAAAGGCAGCTCTGATGGGCACTTACGGGTGGCATTGATGGGCACTTACGGGTGGCATTGATGGGCACTTACAGGTGACACTGATGGGGCTACACTGATCATCAGGGCACTGATCATCAGTGTAGATGCCTGCTCTAAGTAATTAGCTACTTAGTGTGGTGTTCTTTCTTCTCTCCCTACACCCGATGGGGGGCATGCACATGCACGCTCACACCCGGAAATAGAAAGCGTTGTAAGGGTACGTCACTTTGCCCAGAGCCGTTGGGCGGCAAGTAGTTAAAAAAACTAAACAAAAATAAAAAAAACATTTCTCCTGCAATGCAGTCCTTGCTTTGAACTCTCATGAATGTGTTAAGCTCATGACTGTTCAAAATACTAGTGATCTGTGATTGACTACAGCTAATCACATGGTACAGGGTGCTTGGCGATTGGCCCATGTACCATGTGAGAGCTGTGGACCAATCACAGCTTACCAGGAAGAGAAGCAAAGCTGTTATGAATCAGATTGATTCATAACAGCTTTGCTAATAATGTGATCTTGCGATAGCATAGCAATCACATGATCACCGGGTCCCGACTACCGGGATCCGCATTCTATTGTGACATCACTTCTGGGTCCCATTGACCGATTTCCCAGCTATCGGGTGATGTGCACTGCATTGCATCCAGTAGAGTACAGGGGTGACATCTAGGGTCTTTTAGACCCTTAATGTCTCAATAAAGAGAACCTGTCACCAAAAATCATCACATGGGAGACTTTAAGTTAAGTAAAATAGGTGTATATTGATTGCTTTGTGTGAAAGTTATAGCGTCTACAAACTATGGTATAGATACTGCAATTTATGCCATTTTTTTTTGCTATTCAGCGCTGCACTAGTTTAACTGACAATTGCGCAGTCATGCAATGCTGTCTTATTTATTCAGTTGTATCTGACCCTTGGCGATTGCATGGACCGTCACTCGTAAGCGACTTTTTCCATGAATTCTCTTAGCAGTTATTTTACAGGGTAGGTTGCCAGGTCTTTCCCCAACCACTACCTTGCAGGAAATCCCGTGTGGCCAGCGATGAAACTAGGACAATTTAGACAGGAGCCAATTAACCTACCAGTATGTCTTTTGGAGTGTGAGAGGAAACCAGAGTACCTGGAGGAAACCCACGCGAACACAGGGAAGAACATGCAAACTCCAGGCAGGAGGCGCCATGGTTGGGAATTGAACCCATGACCCAATTACTGCAAGGCAGAAGTGTTAACCACTATGCCATTGTGCCGCCCATGCAATACTGTACATAAATGAAATGTCCTTTTTTTCACACAAATAGAGCTTTCTTTTGGTGGTATTTGATCACCTCTGGGTTTTGTTTGCGCTATAAATAAAAGATCGAACATTTTCAAAAAAAATTATATTTTTCTCATTTCTGTTAGAAAAAATATCCAAAAAACTCAAATTTTATAATAAATTATACCAAAATGTATTTTACTACATGTCTTTGGAAAAAATTCCAATAACTGCATATTAATTGGTTTGTGTGAATGTTATAGCGTCTACAAACTATGGTATAGATAATGGAATTTACACAGCTTTTACTTTCTGACTGAATATCACATTTCTTGAGGTGCTAAACTACCAGGATAGTACAAACACCGCCAAATGACCCCTTTTGGGAAAGTAGACAGCCTAAGCTATCTGCTGAGAGGCATGTTGAGTCCATGGAAGACTTTTTTTTTTTCCCACAAGTTTTTGGAAAATGACCAAAACTTTTTTTTTTTTTTTTTTTTTTTTACACAAAGTCACTTAAATGATATATTGCTCAGACAAGCCATGGGTATATGTGAAATTACACCCCAAAATACATTCTGCTACTTCTACCGAGTATGGGGATACCACATGTGTGAGACTTTGGGAGCCTAGCCACATACAGGAGCCTGAAATCCAATGTGACCACTTTGAAAGCCTGAAGGTGCGCAACTTCTTCATTTCACTTCCTCACTACCTATCACAGTTTCGGAGGCCCTGAAATGCCAGGATAGCACCAACCCCCCCCAACCCAAATGACCCCTTTTTGGTAAGTAGAATTTAAAAAGAGGCATGGTGAGTATTTTGCAGATCAAATTTTTTTCTCACAAGGTTTTGAAATATAAAAAACCAGATCTGCAAGATACTCGCCATGCTTCCTATCAAATTTCTTGAGGTGTCTACTTTCCAAAAAGGGATCATTTGGGGGGGGTGCTATCTTGGCATTTCAGGGCCTCCAAAACTGTGATAGATAGTCAGTGTAATGAGGAAATAAAGCTCTTTAACCGCCTCCCGCCCGCTATATAAGGAAATGACGGGCGCAAGGCGGTTCTCTCGTTCTTGCAGCTCGAGAGGAGAGGACAGCTGGTAATCGGCATTCCTCAGAGGGGACATGTACACTGATCATCAGGGCACTGATGATCAGTGTGCCCTGATGATCAGTGTAGCCCCAGCAGTGCCACCTGTTGGGGCCCATCAATGCCACCTGTCAGTGCTCATCAATGCCACCTGCCAGTGCCACATATCCGTGCCTACCAGTGCACATTAATGCCACATATCAGTGCCCATCTGAGCTGCCTTTCAGTGCCAGTCACTGACGCTAATCAGGGCTACCTATCAGTGCCATATGAGTGCTGCCTTTCAGTGCCCATCACTGCAGCCTCATTAGTGTACATCAGTGAAGGAGAAAAATCACTTGTTTACAAAATTTTATAAGAAACATTTTTTTTCTTTTTTTCAAAATTTTCAGTTGTTTTTGGTTTGTTTAGCAAAAAATAAAAAAAAAACTGGTGATTAAATACCACCAAAAGAAAGCTCTATCTGTCTCAAAACAATTGATAAAAATTTCATATGGGTGTTGCATGACCGTGCAATTATCATTCAAAGTGTGACAGTACTGAAAATTGGCCTGGGCAGGAAAGGCGTATAAGTGCCCTGTAGGCAAGTGGTTAAAGACCTGAAGGTGCTTATTGGCTTTGGGGTCCTGTACTTGACTAGACTGCCAAAAATCTCTCACGTGGTATCCCCATACTCGGGAGAAGTAGCAGAATGTATTTTGGGTAGTTTATGCCACACATCACTCACTCTTCTAACCACCTGAAGACCAAGCCTTTTCTGACACTTTTTGTTCACATGAAAAAATAAAAATCAGTCTTTGCTAGGAAATTACTTTGAACCCCCAAACATTATATCTCATTTAAAGCAGACACCATAGTGAATAAAATGGTGGGTGCTGCAATTTTTTATGTCACAGTACTCACGCAGCAATTTTTCAAACACAATTTTTTTTGAAAAAAAATACACTTTTTTTTTTAACATTCAATGCACAAAAACACAATATATTGGCCAATTATTTGGTAAGATATAAAAGATGATGGTATTCCGAGTAAATAAATACCAAAAATGACATGCTTACAAACTATGCATGCCCCGTGCACTGGTGACAAACTGCATACATTTTTAATATCCATAGGTAACAGTTTAAAACCCTTTACAAGCTACCATTTTAGATTTACAGAGGAGGTCTCTTGCTAGAATTACTGCTCTTGATCTGATGTTCACGGTGATACCTCACATGCATTTGAGAAATCTGGGGTTTATCAGATATCTCCTCTGCCCTTACATTATCTAAGCTCACCAAGATTGGTGTGATCAGATGCTTTCCCAATTTACAAATGGCGCTGTTTATATCCTGCAAAACTGAAGTGATGAAATGCTCATAGCTTCCGATTTCTTAGACTATAGAAATGATTGGTGCCATTCTGGTCTCCAATCAGCTCTATGGTCAGCTGGCAGAAACACTGCCTGCATTCTCAGGCTCCCCTGATGGCACGGGACTGCCCGAGACGGCCGGGGAAGGCAGCGGGGGAGGGGGGCATCCTCTCCTGCTGCTTGTAAAAGCAATCTTGCAGCTAATTAGCCACTAGGATTGCTTTTACATGAAAGCCAATTGTCGTCTGAAAAAAAACGATGCAGCTGCAGGCATCATCCTGGTATAACCACTCAAAGTCCAGTGATGTACCAGTACGTCACTGGTCCTTATTGGGTGTATATAGTATGTTTTTGTTTTATTTTTTGCAGCCTGTGGGCTAAATGAAAAAAAAGAGAAGAAATCTCTGCCAGAAAAAGTGTGTTGCATGCCCACCATTAGACTATACCACCCTGCATCCACCCACTTCTAATGGTGGGCACACATGAAATGTTTGAACGGAAAACAAAAAGAGCCTAACAGGTTTCTCTCTTCACATCTGTCGATGTGGATGAAGAAATCTCTTCCAAAAAATTTATTTTTTAAATATATACTAAAGCATAGGGGCCATCCACCCAATGGCCACCCTAGGCCCCCATGCTTCGGCATATATGCTTTTTTTTTTTTTTTTTTTTTTTTTTAACTGCGGATTAAAAATCATGTATATTCTGAGAGCAAGACCCTGTTGCTGTCAGAATAAACAGGTCGGTGATGCAGTGGAATGGCATTCCTACAAAGAAAACAGCCATGGCTAACAATAAAACAGTAAAATCATAACAGTAGTGAAAAAAAAAACAAAAAAAAGCTACAACTGTTTTTGTTTTTTTTAAATTTTAAATTTTTTTTTTCTACTTTTATTTTTTTTGGGTCTTTTTATTTTTTAACTTGAACTTAAAATCATGTATATATACGTGAATTTGCGCCCATATGCTGCCCTGTAGCAGTATTTCTGCTATAGGGCAGTCGGAAAGTGGTTAAATACAGTTTTGGTTAAAACATTTTTTTATCTGGATAAGTAGATTGGGACACCAGTTTAGCCCTTGGACAAGTAGTTTTTTCAAAAATGTCCACACCCCTGTTTCTCATTCACAGAATACTGGGAATGAGTGATGCAGCCTGGTGGGCAGAGCCCTGCTTGGCCATGTCTTTTTTTTTTTTTTTTTTTTTTTTTTAAGTTGTGGCAGCAGACACGGGGAGAAGATTCCCAGTCTGCTGTCACAGCGGGGATCAGGGGCATGGAAGCAGCAGGAGCACTAACATGTTACACCCTGAATACGGGTGTAACATGTTTGAAAAGGTGAACTTATCCTTTAAAATGGTGATACTTTGGTACCCTATACCAGTGGTCGGCAAGCCGCGGCTCGCGAGCCACATGCGGCTCTTTACACAGTTTAATGCGGCTCTTCTGTGTGCCCGCTCCCCTCCCTCCTCTCGGGCGGCCGCCCCAAAAGTCAGGCAAACTACGGGCCCGGCGGACCTTTTAATCCGGCCCGCGGAGCGTGGCAAAGATTGGCTGTCAGGATGTAGGCGGGGCAGCGTGACGAACTCCTCTCCTCTCACAGTCCGCCCTGAAGACCGGAACGGCGCGGGAACACGGCGAGAGGAACGCGCGGAGCAAAGGTAAGTGAATTGACACAATATGGGGAATGAATTACTATAGGGGGGATGAATTACTATAGGGGGGATGAATTACTATAGGGGGGATGAATTACTATATGGGGAATGAATTACTATATGGGGGATGAATTACTATGGGGGATGAATTACTATGGGGGGATGAATTACTATATGGGGGATGAATTACTATATGGGGGATGAATTACTATATGGGGGATGTATTTTCAGTTTTAAAAATGTGGCTCTCAAAATAAATTTCAATCGTGGTTTTGGCGAGATTTGGCTCAGTTGAAAAAAAAGGTTGCCCACCACTGCCCTATACCAAGGGTCCTCAAACTTTTTAAATGGGGCCAGTTCACTGTCCCTCAGACCGTTGGAGGGCCGGACTATAGTTTAAAAAAAAAAAAAAAAAAACTATGAACAAATGCGGACACAGTACAGGAGATGACCAGAGACTGCGGACAGAGTACAGGAGATGACCAGAGACTGCAGACATAGTACAGGAGATGACCAGAGACTGCGGACGCAGTACAGGAGATGACCAGAGACTGCGGACGCAGTACAGGAGATGACCAGAGACTGACCAGAGGACGCAGTACAGGAGATGACCAGAGACTGCGGACGCAGTACAGGAGATGACCAGAGACTGCGGACATACAACGGCAGCGGGAATACTGGGCCGGCCGCTCCATAAGACGCACAGACATTTCCCCCCAAGTGTCTCTTATGGAGCAAAATTGTGCCCCATCATTGGTGTCAGTGGGAGGAATAGTGCCCCATCATTGGTGTCAGTGGGAGGAATAGTGCCCCATCATTGTTGTCAGTGGGAGGAATAGTGCCCCATCATTGGTGTCAGTGGGAAGAATCGTGCCCCATCATTAGTGTCAGTGGGAGGAAACGTGCCCCATCATTGGTGTCAGTGGGAGGAATCATGCCCCATCATTGGTGTCAGTGGGAGGAATCGTGCTCCATCATTGGTGTCAGTGGGAGGAATAGTGCCCCATCATTAGTATCAGTGGGAGGAATAGTGCCCCATTATTGGTGTCAGTGGGAGGAATAGTACCCCATCATTGGTGTCAGTTCGAGGAATAGTGCCCCATCATTAGTGTCAGGTGGGGGAGGAATAGTGCCCCATCGTTGGTGTCATTGTGGGGGGGGGGAATAGTGCCCCATCATTGGTGTCAGTGGGGGAAGGGGATAGTGCCCCATCGTTGGTGTCAGCGGGGGGGGAGGAATAGTGCCCCATTATTGGAGTCAGTGGGGGGGGGGAGGAATAATGCCCAATCATTAGTATCAGTGACACCAATGATGGGGCACTATTCCTCCCACTGACACCAATGACACGTAACTTTCTGACCCCTGCTCCAGCCTAGGTGCTACTGCAGCCAGCATACTTGGTGGCAGCAGCACCATCAGCACGGCACACTTACCTGTCAGCTGTCCTTCTGCACTCCGGCCTCTCTCTCGATGTTCGCGGGGCCGCTTGGCTCCGCCTCCTCACAGGTGATTGGCCGCCTGTGTGCCTTTCCTGAGCTACAGTTCTGGCGCCCAATCACCGGTGAGGAGGCGGAGCCGAGCGGCAGGAGTGAGGGAGTGGCCGGAGTGAATGAAGGAGCAGCGCTTCCTGGACTGGATCGTCATGGGACTGAGACCCGAGCCAGGTAAGGTCCAGCAGCCCCCTGCCCGCCCCTGTACTTAGTGTCCCTTCCTGTCCCGCCCCTGCCGTAGGGCCGGATAAAATGGCCTCGGCAGGCCGCATGTGGCCCGCGGGCTGTAGTTTGAGGACCCCTGCCATATACTGTCCATAAGTGATGCTTAAAAAGGCCTTACAGGTCATAAGTTTAGGTTAAGGGCAAAAAAATGGCCAGAATTATTCATTTCACTCTGGTATGCATGGTAATGTATGTAATATATGTAATGCAATCCTGGTATTCATATTTAGGTTCCCCCATCGCATTTGTTTACAATCATATATAGGGACGGGGTTTTAAGTCCTCGGGTGTAACTTTAACCACTTGTGGGCCAACAACGTACTGGTGCTTTGGTTATACTGGGATAATGCCTGCAGCTGCGTACTCATAGTCCATTGACACTTCCTCCAGCTCTCCAACTGAAAAGCCTGTAGAGAGAAATCTGGAAGAATGCACATTTTTCCTGCAGAATGTACATGCATTATTTTTTTATTCAAAGTTGAACCTAACCTTTTTATTTATTTTATTTTTTTAAACAAAGCAAGTGTTTACAGTAGTAAAGCAAAGTTAGTAATTGTTACCTTAATTAAATTCATTTTAATAATTATTTCCACTTTTCCCTAACTTTCCTCCAGTGCCGTCGATTCAGTAGATATTCATACATGCCTGAGCAAATATTTCTTTGTCTCCCTTATTGCTTCTGCTGTTTTGGAACTGAAAATAAAATGTCCTCAGGACCAAAAAAAAAAACTAAATGAATATAAAATGTGTGCTGTTTTGCAGAAATCCTTCTTTTCTTGAATATGCCTGATTGGAATTTTTATTTTTTTCAGAGATGTGGTATGGCGTATTCCTATGGGCACTGGTCTCTTCACTCTTCTTTCATATACCCGCTGGACTGCTAGCTTTGTTTACTTTGAGACACCACAAATATGGAAGGTTCATGTCTGTGGCGATCCTACTGATGGGAATTGTGGGACCAATATCTGCAGGGATATTAACAAGTAAGCATGTGGATTTATCGCAATTACTAATTTGGATATTTTCTCTACTGTATCTCAAATTAAAGTGATAATAAAGGTTGTTTTTTTTTGTTTTGTTTTTTTTGTTTTTTTTCTTTTTTTTTCTTTTTAAATAACACATCATACTTACATGCTCTGTGTAATGGTTTTGCATAGAGCAGCCCTGATTCCCCTCTTCTCAGGTCCCCCACCGTTGCTTCTGACCCCTGCCGAGTGGCAAGCAGTCTTCTATGGTGGCATCCAAGCAGTCTTGCTTCCGAGCCGCTTTGCTTTCTGACCATTCACACGCACAGCATGACTCACACCCGCTCTCTCTTCACTGGATATAATTGACAATAGTGGAAGCAAATTGCTCCTGCTGCTGTCTCAATCAGTGAGGAGGGAGAGAGCTGCTGCTATTGCACACATCGCTGGATCGAGATGGGGCTCAAGTATTAGGCGGTTGCTGTGGAGGGAGCTGCGCACAGAATGTTTCTTTTACCTTCATACATAGAATGCATGAAAGTTAACCACATCCTGGCTGCCCTATAGCAGATATACTGCTGCAGGGCGGCAGGGGTGTGAAAAATCGTGTGTATATATGTGTGTGTTTTGTGTGTGTGTGTGTGTGTGTGTGTGTATATGTATATATATATGTGTGTGTGTGTATATGTGTGTATATGTGTATATATATATATATATATATATATATGTGATTTTTTTATTTCCGGGTAGGGTGCGCATGCGCCCTACCCGTGCTGCCATTCGCCGCCACAGCTGTCAATCACTGGGTCCCGGCTGGTGATTACCGTGCATCTCCAATGGGGAGGAGGACTGCTTTGTTTACTAACAGTCCTCCTCCCTGTCAGCTTGGGCACACTGCACAGCCATCCAGAGCAGTGTGATTACAGTGAAGCACCAACACATCGCTCCCCATTAAAACACTCCCAGCACACAGTTAACACTTTGATCTCCCCTCATGTTAACCCCTTTCTGCCCAGTGCCATTAGTGTACAGTGTCAGTGCTTTTTTTTTTTTTTTTTTTTTTTAAAGCACTGATCACTGTATTGGTGTCACTGCAGATGTCAGTGACACCAAGTCAGTTCCCCCCAGTGTCAGAATTCCCGCCACAGTCCCGCAGTCCAGTTATATGTTGCTGATCGCCGCCATTATTAGTACAAAAAAAAAATTCCAGTATCTATACCACCAGTTGTAAACGCTATAGCTTTCACATAAACCAATTAATTTACATGTATTGGGATTTCTTTTAGCAAAGACATGGAGTAGAATACATTTTGGCCTAAATTTATGATGACTTTTGAAGTTTTAAAATTTTTTTACTGGACATATTTAATAACAAAAAGTAAAAAATATTGTTTTTTTTTTCTCAAAATTGTCAGTCCTTTTTTTTTTTTTTTATTTTTTTTATAGTGCAAAAAATAAAAAAACCACACAGGCGATCAAATACTACCAAAAGAAAGCTCAATTTGTGGGGGGAAAAAAGGCCGTAAATTTAATTTGGGTGCAGTGTTGCATGACCGTGCAATTGTCAGTTAAAGTAACGCAGCACCGTAATGCAGAAAAATGGCCTGGGCAGGAAGGGGGGGTAAATCTTCAGGATGGCAAGTGGTTCAAAGCCCTAAAGCTGAACTCCAGTCAAAACATTTATGTTCCCATGCAGTTGGGTTGTGCACGCACTGCATGGGTTAACTGCTCGTTTTTGTCCAAGGGCTCAGGGAAAAGCTATACTTACCCCCACCTCCGATCCTCCGGAAACCACGTTTCCCCACATGTAGCAATGGACTGTTCCTGCTGTTCTCACGTCCACAGCCGGTCTATGGATGTGGAGATGTCAGGAACAGCCCATTCACTGCTAACGTGCGGGGGTGGTAGGAACAGCAGGGATCGGTCTTGTGCTTGGAGGATCGGCAGATTAGGTAAGTATATCTTTGCTTTCTGAGCCCCTAGACAAAAACAAGCATTTACTCATGCAATGCAGGCACAGGCCCACTGCATGTGACAATAACAATTTTGCCTGGAATTCTTCTTTAAGCCTTTACAACTACTTTAATGATAGCAGCCATAGTTCTTAGGTTTCAAAGGATAAGTTCACCTTTCATAACATGTTACACCCATATTCAGGGTTTAATATGTAACCTGTTATGATTAGGCCGCTCCCCTGCTTTGACAGCTAGTGGGGGATCTTCTCCCCCCTCGCTAGCTGTCAAATTAAAAAAAAAAAAAAAAAAAGTAGCTTTGCGGGGCTCTGCCGCCCAGCCATGTCACTCGTTAACTGCATTCTGTGAATGAGAAACTGCACATCTTGTGGCGTACCGTGGTAGTTCATTGGGTCTTCCTGTCAGTATCACGTACGGGAAAGCAGATCTTCTGACAGATCTGCAGGATACCTGCATGGATCCTGCAATATGCTGATCACTGGTGCATTTGTGTACAGGCTCCTGCAACAAAAAAAATAATACATGCACATTTTCACCTGCAAAAAAATGCATTTATGTGAACTTATCCTCTAACAATAGTCAACTTGGGAGTTACATTTATGACATTGTGGAGGATTTACTAAAACTGGTGCACACACAATTTGGGGCAGTTGTGCATAGTAACCAATCAGCTTCCAGGTTTTATTGTCAGCTTTATTGAACAAGCTGAAGTTAGAAACTGATTGGTTACTATGCACAGCTGCACCAGTTTTAGTTAATTTTATCTCATTGTGTATGTGGAGCTTTTCAGCTTTGTAGTATCAGCCTTTATACACACGCTGATAGGTTGCGTCGGGCTTGCGTGTGTTTGGTATTTGTCCAAGAACACTCCATAAGCCAGGTAGAAAATGCAGTTTCCTGGCTTCCAGCCTAAGGGCTTTATTCCCATTCCTCCCATTCAGAGTTCTAACGCAATGTGCTAGGCATTTGTTTCATATATCCTTACCTGTTACACTATTGCTCGGTAGACAGGATTCTTGACATATCAAGCAATAGTTTGTCCTGATCCGGGTCACAGTTTCTAATTTCTGTTGTGCTGGCACTGTGATAGAACAGAAGTGATTCTGCCACCTCTTGTGCCACCATAGCTCTAAATGGCCATCAGAGGATGAGCCCCCCAGGGACATCAGCTCTAGTCTCTCTTTCTGTGCCTTCCTGTACCATGGATATAAGTGATTGCAGAGCAAATCCCATTGTCATAGTAGATCTTGTTATTAGCTGCAGCCTCTGCAAAGGATATTGACAGTTCTCTGCTAAACTATTTCCCTATTCTAGTGCATTGACTTTTACTATAATAGGAAGTCAGTAAAATAATGGTGGCCACACACCAATCATCTGCTAGTCCTCAAAAAAGGTTTACTGGATCAAGCAGAGATACTGGATTCTCGATCTGCTTGTTTCTTCACCCCCTTTTGGGGCGTAATCATACAAACTCGATGCTTCAAGAAAAAACATCTTTTCTTTTTAGAACAGAGTGACCATATTTTCCTATTTTAATGTGTTAGGTGTGGTCACATGACTGCCAAATACCTTCCTCGGTCTTCTTGCTGTCAGGGCAGTGGGAAGGTATAGGGATGGCAGACTGAGTTAACTAGTAGCTGAGGAGCAGTTAAAATTGTGTAAGGGAGAGGCAGGTTCTCTTTCCTCCTCCATCCCTCTTCTCTGCTTACCTCCCTGTTTTTTGGTGATGTGTGGAGAGTGGAGCTATTGGACCCACCCCCCTGACAGGTGAGGATGCTGTCAGGGGCTCCTTCCACCAGAATCCCCCCCCCCCCCCCCAGGCTTGGCCCCCTTGGGAGAAATTGGGGTCTCTGGATGGTTTCCCATGCATTGCAGTTCCTCACCTTCACCAAGTGCACCAGGCATCCCCTCTGGGTAGGGGTGAAGACAGGTGTCAGGCCCGGTGTTGTGGCCCATGAAACACAAGGATAATACAGCGGGTACAATAAGTATTGAATATGTCACCATTTTTTTGAGTAAATATATTACTAAAGGTGCTATTGACATGAAATTTTCACCACATGTCAGTAACAACCCATTCATTCCATACATACAAAGAAACAAAAACAAACAAGTTCAGAAATTAATGTGTAAATAATGGAATGATTAAAATGTATTGAACATGAAATGAAATTTATTTAAAGTGTTACTAAACCCAGGATCCTGCATTCGCTCTATCCGGTCTCCCACAGTACACAGAACATGGAAATGCAATTATTTTAGTAAATATAAACTGCTAAATGCCTTTTTTCATCAGTAGTTAAAGCAGTCTTGTCATTTCTATCAGTGTCCAGCAGAGCACATGTTAAAGCTTGTAGGAGGAGATCAAACCGCCTTTTTACACAATGCAGAGGATTAACCCCTTAGGTTCCACAGTGAGTATAACAAGCATGCTTTACTGCATATACAGACTGTGGGTTTAGTAACACTTTAATACTTCATACAAAATCCTTTATTGGTAATGACAGCTTTGCAATGCCCCCTGTATGGAGAAACTAGTCGCATGCATTGCTCAGGTGTGATTTTGGTCCATTCTTCCAGACAGTCTTCAAGTCTTGAAGGTTCTGTGGGCATCTTCTGTGAACTCTGATCTTTAGTTATTTCCATAGATTTTCTATTGCATTCAAGTCGGGTGACTGGCTGGGCCATTCCAGCAGCTTTATTTTCTTTCTTTGAAACCAATTGAGAGTTTTCTTGGTTTTGTGTTTGGGATCAACGTCTTGCTGAAATGTCCACCCTCATTTCATCTTTATCATCCTGGTAGATGGCAGCAGATTTTTATTAAGAATGTCTTGGTAAATTTTTCAAATCATCCTTCCTTCAAGGATATGAAGTTTGCCAGTACCGTATGCTGAACAACAGCTGCACACCATGATGTTCCCACCTCCAAACTTCACTGTAATATGGCATCCAAAGAGTTCAATTTTGGTCTCCTCTGACCAGACTATATTCTCCTAGTATTTCCCAGGCTTGTCTAAATGTTGTGCAGCAAACTAAATGAGCTTCAATAAGCTTTTTCTTCAGCAATGGAGTCCTCCGTGGTGACCATGCATACAGGCCATGGCAGTTGAGTGCATTACTTATTGTTTTCTCTGAAACAATTGTACCTGCTAATTCCAGGTCTTTTTGATGCTGGTCCTTAGTTTTTGGACAGCTCTTCTGATAATTATTTTCTCTCTGTAAGAAATCTTGCGAGGAGCACCTGGTTGTGGCTGGTTTATGGTGAAATTGTGTTCTTTCCACTTCCAAAATATGGCCCCAACAGTGCTCACTGGAACATTCAGACGTTTAGAAATCCTTCTGTAACCAACTCCATCAGTATGCTTTGCAACAATAAGGTTACAACGATCTTGAGAGAGCTCTTTGCTTTTACCCATCATGAGATGTTTCCTGAGTGACAATTTGGTAATGAGGCACCTTTTTATAGAGGCCATCAGTTGAGACTGAACCAGCTGATATTAATTTGTACTGATAAGGGGCAGGATTGCTTTCTAATTACTAATAGATTAGAGCTGGTATCTTCGTTTTCAATTCCTTTTTGCACCTTCCTTTTTTCATGTGTTTAATACTTTTTCTCCGTGTCATTCCATTTTATTACACATAACTTAATTTCTGAATTTATTTGTTTGGTTTCTTTGCATGTGTGGATTGCATGGCTTGTTACCGACGTGGTGAAAATGTCATGTCAATCGCACCTTTAGAAATCTATTTACCTAGAAAAATGGTGACGTGTTCAATACTTATTTTACCCGCTGTATAAGCTGGACTTTCTCTCCATGGAACAACAAAAGTAAAAAAAACAAAAACCAAACATAACAACAAAATGTAACCAAACGTGTTCAATACTTTTTAACCACTGTACATAGGGAAACATACATTAAAGTATTTGTAAATCCTCACCTTGTAAAACAACCCATTAAGTTTAAAATAGAAATGAAAGGCTAAACATTTGTGCATAGATCTAAAAAAAAGGGAAAAGGGCGTTTTATAATGTTTTTTTTATAAGTGATCACATGTTCTCAGCTGCACAGAGAGGTCGGATTTTTGGCAGGAACACCAGGGATTTCACAAAGGAAGCAATACAAAGATAACAGGATACCTTTTCATAGTACAGTACATGGTACAGCAGGCACATATCAGGAATTTGAAATGTTGGGAATTACATTATCTTGAAGTACAAAAATGATGATCTGTAGACATTGGTATAATGCAGATCAGAACATTGCAGTAGTTTAACCTCCTTAGCGGTATTCCCAAGTGTATCTCGGGGGGTAAAATTTCAGTACCAAGAGCGGTAACCCCGAGCTACACTCGGGCTTACCATGCGTCGTTGCTCAGGGAGTCCCTGCAGCACTTACCTTGTCCTTCGCTCCCACGATGTGTGCCCTGCAGCGTCCCCGGCCATCTCCTCCGGCCGATGCCGGCCTCCGTGTTCCGGTCCCTGTCACGTCGGGACGCACGAGCGCCGGAACCGGTGGCAAATTTGAAATTTTTTAAAAATGTCTTTTTTTTTTTTTTTTTTAAATAATCATTACATAGTAAAACATTGCTGTTTCAATGCATTTCACATACATTTTGTCCCTAGTGCTTTGTCCCGTGCCCTGCCTGCATTTTGACTGTTCTTTCTGCCTGGAAACTTAGAAAAGTCCATGGCGTCCAAAAAGCGTCCCTTTACGTCAAAAGCGGTTTTAGAACAGCTAGAGAACTTGCAGAATTGAGTGATAATGATTTGTGGGGAAATTCGTCATCAGACACTGAAAATGATTTTGCGACTTTGCTCAGCGATGTGCGAATTTGCCTCTGTATTTCAAATTTCAGTGTTTTCGGTTTGATTATATTATTGAATTAAATTTATTATTATTATATTATTATTTTTTATGATTATTTAGTAAATTATAATTTATGATTTCGTGTTTCAAATTTTATCCTACCCGGGATGTTTACTAGACTCTTGTTCATACAGATTTCAGTGAGTTATTCCTAAACATTACAGCCTACAATAAAAAAACTACAATATTTCCATGCAAAAAAATGGTACCGCTTTCAGCACAAAAAATCAGAAATAATCAGACCGCCGAGGAGGTTAAAAAAAAAAAACACTTTTTTTTTTTTTTTTTTTTTTTGCTGCTGTGGGATCCATTAGCTTTCTATAGACACTAGAAATTATGCTGACAATCCTGTTCAGGTAGCAAGTAAAAGCTTTGTTATTTTACTGGAAGTACCATGGAATATCGGACATCACACATTTTAGAGTATCGATTTCCAAAAAGTTGGTATATCAGAACGCATTCACTTGCTGTTAAACATTGTAAAATTTGCCATTTTATTGCTTGCTTGCTTAACTTATTTATAATGCATAGGAATTATTGCAAGTTATGGGAAAGCAATATCTCTGTATAATATGGATATTTTTTTTTATATTCCTCAATAGGTGCTGCCATTGCTGGAGTGTACAAAGCTGCTGCCAAGGAAATGATTCCCTTTGAAGCACTAGTCCTGGGTGTGGGTCAGACTTTCTGTGTGCTTGTTGTTTCCTTCTTGAGGATTTTAGCAACTTTATAACTGGCTGCCCTTTCCAGCACAGTCAAAGATGTAAATATGCATTTGGATTTCAGCATGGTGTTTGCTCAGTGTAGGAGCTTTGATATGAAACACCGCTGTCAATATGACTGATGGATTTAAGTCCGTAAGACTGCCTACGTGTTCAAAAAATCGCTCACTGGCGTCCAGCTGTAGTTCTTCAGTGCCCAGGACAAACCTACTGTATGTAGCTGGAATACAATAAGGGTTTTACATGCCGTGTCACCAGCTGTTTCATAAGACATTGGCATAAGAAGAATGCCTGTCTCTCCGAAACCCACTAAATACAGCATCGCAACAATTTTACAATCGCTAGCATTTCTGGAATTACAATACAGTTTTCTAATGAATTTTTCATAAAGTCATCTACAAATAGAAGAACAAATATGCACTCTACTCTGTACCTTCCATCTTTGATTTTTTAGGGTTGTTTTTAATGATTTAACAGCACCCAATACAGATCCTCTTTAGGCACTTTTTAAATGATTTTAACATTTTATTCACTTCTTTTAGTGCTAATGCTGCTAAACTGTTTTGTATATATTCAAATTCTTTTCCGAACTTGCAACCATACTTGAAGTGCATTTTACTCCGTTCTTTTCAGATTGTCTTGCTGTTGTGCTAATAATTCTAAATCGGCACAATAAAAAGGCAGTCAAGTTAATGATTGCATTACTTGCCATAGGCGTCATTACTTAATGTACTTTAGAACATCTACGTGGTTTGCAAGTATATGATATCTGTATGATATCAGTATGTGATATATCCGCATTGTCTTAGAAGCAGGTTGTATCCGCATCTGAAAGACCGTTTGATTTTGGCATCAAAAAAGCTGTCTTATACTACAAATGTGTGTATTTTAGCTGTGAATACTGAATACACACCACTGTGTCCTTCAGCAGACTTTTGGGGAAGAAAATTATTACTTTTTTGAAGACCTCTATTTTGTCAGGAAGCAAACCCATCTCCACCCAAGAACCCTCCTCTACACCGTGTTCTAGGCACCTCCTTGTGTTGGTAGTCCTACTGCTTGGCGCTTTGTTTCAACCTTTCTAAAGGTTGAATTTTTTTAAGAACTATAGGCAAAACTTTTTTTTTTTTTTTCTTTCAATTTGGGAGGGTTTTATAAACCCCTGTCCGTTTATTTTGTTGCCATCTGTGTCCCATAGCCAAAACAGAAAGTGACAAAGAATCCCTGCAAATTTAAGGGAATTTCTTGGGGGACCCCCAGGTCATCAGAACTAGTGTCCCCATTGGAAATCTTCTTACTTTACTGGGGGACAACAAAAAATGTGGAATTTTTTCTTTTACATTAATTTTCACTTTCAATGATAATGGTAAACGGGACAAATCGAGAGGCTGAATCTCCCTAATGAGGGCACTGACATGTTCTAATCCATCTTCACTCTGTCCAAAACTAAAAAAAAAAAGGTTTTGCCTTTAGCTATACTTCAAGTTTTTTAGGTACAAACAACAAAAGACAACAATCCCTATATTGTGCGGAGATGGCGATTTCTACCCCCCCCCCCCATATCTAGAAGTACTAGTTTCTTAAACCCGGTGTCTGCAGGGAATGGGACATAAGCTTTTATTGTGCTGGTGAGCCCATTGACGAGGGGTATATAGCAGAAGGGGGCAAGGTCAAAGCAAGACAGTTGATAATGTTGCCACCCATGCCTCCGGCTTCCTACTGAAATCCTGTTGGTACCGCCTAGCTTAACAAAAGTTGAGTGGAAAATTATCATCTGATCAGTGACTGCACCCTAACAAATGTAGTCACTGTCAGGTATTTTAGCAGTTGTGGGTGTCACTCTGTCTCAATATAATTGCCAGCGGTGGAGACTCCTCCTTCCAAGCGGGCTGAACGAGACAAATCTATACATGTCTGGCTAGCCTATGATTTTTACACTGGGTTTGGGTGATACAGTGAGTTACATGGGAAGCTGTTGTGGTGTTCAGGTACTTGGAGGTACAAGGTATTCATAGAAATCCAGGTTAGATGTATATAAATTACAGCATGCAGTTTTCTTAAGCGAACATTTTTTCTTGTGAAACATAAGTTTCCTACCTGGAGGTCCTGCAAGTAACAGCTTAATGTTGCAGGTTGACAACTCCCTTTCTGTCTCGCAGCAGTGTTGTCGGCATGTCTTGCTGACTTCTGAAGTTGGCCGGTGGCTTCCTATCTGATAGTAGTAAGCCAACAGCCAACTGAACCATGCTGCTGCTAATTTTCAGGTATTCTCTTAGCATCAACAGAAAATATTTGCTTAAGAAAACTATATACAGTGAGACATCATGCCAAAATGCTAAGAAAAAGAAAAAAAAAAAAAAAATTTAGATTTTGGGTTTACATACAATTAAAAAATATAACTTCGCAGGACAGCTTTAGAGGCCTCTTAGACTGCATTTGAGTGCCTCGAAAGCTGGCTATACACTACAATTTTCAGCTGCTTTTGGATGTACTAGCCAAAATTCACTCCATGGGTAGCCCCTGTTGGCAACCTCAAACCCCCCCTCCCCCCACCACCTTTAATCCTTTGAATTTAAAATCAAAGAAGACAAATGGAAAGTTTTTGGCCATTCAGGGGCTGCATCCAATTAGATACAGCTGCTGTTCAAGTGTTCCGATATCCAGTAGTGGATGTCAGAATACAATAGGAGCAGCAGACGTTTTATTCATTCTTTAAAGTGTGAATGGAGGAAACCTTTTATTTTTTTTCTCTCTCTCTTCTTCCAGCCACTAGGCTAAAAGGAAGAAATCTTAGTGTATGAGCAGCTTTAGTTACAGCGGAGCTTCAGTCTCTGGTGAAAAAAAATAAATGTTTGCAACTACAAAAACTGTAGTTGCTGACTTGAAAAAAAAAAAAAAAACCGCGAATCACTTGTCCCTTGATCCAGCTGTGTCCTCACCACAACTGGGTTCACCAGCCGTCCTCTGTCCCCAGGATCTTAAGTGTGGGGTACCTGGCTGTGACAGCTTGTGGCTTCACAGCCGGGTGCCCACTGCGCGAGTAGCTCTGCGCATAGTGAATGGTCTTACAGTCTTCTTGGACCTGGCACATGTCCCAGAACACTTTGCGGGGGTGGGGGAATTCCGCCTTAGGTGATCAGAGCGGAAGTGGGAGCAGGTAACTGTCAAATTTGGGTTCCTGCTCCCCATAGGTGCCAATTCCTAGTGAGGGGGGGGGGGGGGGGGGACAAGTTAAGGTGGAAATTCCCTTTTCGGGTGGAGCTCCGCTTTAAATGCGCCTCAATGTAGTGTGTAGAAATACGGTCTTACAACATTTGCATTCACCATGTGAAGCTAGCCTACAAGACTGGTTTAGGTCACTCAAGCACATTTTAGTGTGTCCATAACTCAAAAGAAAATGTGAGTATTGTCCATGATGGAGAAGAGTTGTCTGTGATGGATACTAGTTCACACCTAACCCAAATACACATATCACATTGGCTTCTGCACAAATTCACAAGAAACTGCAACATTCAACAAACATGCTAAGCTGAGATACTTTACTACAGCATAGTTTATCGTTTAGAGGGTAATTACTGTCACTCAATTCCAAAGGTTGGCTATACACTGGACACAGTGATCAGACGAATTGTGCAACTAGCCACTGGGTAATCTGAGCTTCCATTTCTGCCTTGTATATTTGCTGTATTTATTTTTCAACATGTTCCTGTATCCCTAAAGAGAACCACTTAGCATTGTACATAAAAGTCCTTGCTTTGCCTATTATATATGTAACTGGAAAAATCTCTCTGCTCAGGAGAAAGCTTTGAAAATCCTCCCGCTGAGCAGATTCAGCATGTATCCTCTTAATACAGGCCCTTCTTATGGGGTAGCAAAATGCAGTTGGTTTCTCTGCCTAGCAAAGCAGGAGGACTGCAGCATCATGGCTGCCCTTGAAGGCTTGTGCACATGGCTGTATAACGTGCATAAGCATCCAGAACCACTGTTGGAAACTTTCACTGGCCCAACAGCTGCTGTGTAAAGCCTCCCATTGACAGCAATTGTAAGATGTGACCGTATGTGAGTATGTGCCAACACTTGCATAAAGTACATTCACAGATGCCACTAGGTATACGTCTGTGTGTGTGTGTGTGCGCTTTACACAGGGGTTTATTTACTAAGGTTAGGTTCACACCTATGAAGGTGACATTTGAGCTATTTCTGCATTGCGTTTTTTGATGCGTTTTACGAGGGTTTTTTTTTTTTTTTTCTTGTTGCTAGGCAGATTTAAAACGTGGCAAAAATGCTTCAAAAACACAATACATGCTTTTCTGCAGCGTTTCCATTGAAGTGTATAGAAACAAAAACGCAACTTTTGCGCTCAAAAAAGTCCTTGACCCTTTCCAAAAACGCACCGGGTGTGAACATGTCTCATAGGAAATCATGTTAAATAGACTGTACTGCGTTTCTGCAAAATGCTGCAGAAAACACATAGGTGTGAACCCAGGGTAAAACTGTAGAATGCAAAATCTGGTGCAGCTGTATGAAATGGCTGTGGCTCACGAGGAAGTTTTTTTTTTTTTTTTTAACGGAGGTTCTGGATGCTCATGCACCACGTTTGACCACCTTGCTGCTGTGTGTATGAGCCCCAAAGCAACCCTGTCAGCCTGATGTATACATTATCTGACTGTCAGGCATGGATTATATGCCATTCAGGTCTCTTGAACCATCCTTTTAGCACACCAGCCAGTGTGTAAAGGCCGTTTTTATCTGATGCTGGTTCTTTTTTGCTTGCATTTTCAATTATTTTTTTGGAATATTCTTAATGCTCATGAAACCCTTTGTATACTAAATCAACCTTTTGATATAATTCATTTTGTTGAATAAGTGTTTTAGTTTTTACTTTCTGAAATATGCAATTTGTAAACTAAAAATGAATTCAGATTGTAACTCTTTATAGTCTAACATTGTCTAG